GAAGGACACCAGGAAAAGTATTGTAGACCTGCACCAGACTGGGAAGAGTGAATCTACAATAGGCAAGCAGCTTGGTGTGAAAAAATCAACTGTGGGAGCAATCATCAGAAAATGGAAGACATACAAGACCACTGATAATCTCCCTCGATCTGGGGCTCCACGCAAGATCTCATCCCGTGGGGTCAAAATGATCATGAGAACGGTGAGCAAAGATCCCAGAACCACACGGGGGGACCTGGTGAATGACCTGCAGAGAGCTGGGACCAAAGTAACAAAGGTCACCATCAGTAACACACTACAACGGCAGGGAATCAAATCCCGCAGTGCCAGACGTGTTCCGCTGCTGAAGCCAGTGCATGTCCAGGCCCGTCTGAAGTTTGCCAGAGAGCACATGGATGATACAGCAGAGGATTGGGAGAATGTCATGTGGTCAGATGAAACCAAAGTAGAACTTTTTGGTATAAACTCAACTCGTCGTGTTTGGAGGAAGAAGAATACTGAGTTGCATCCCAAGAACACCATACCTACTGTGAAGCATGGGGGTGGAAACATCATGCTATGGGGCTGTTTTTCTGCCAAGGGGACAGGACGACTGATCCGTGTTAAGGACAGAATGAATGGGGCCATGTATCGTGAGATTTTGAGCCAAAACCTCCTTCCATCAGTGAGAACTTTGAAGATGAAACGAGGCTGGGTCTTCCAACATGACAATGATCCAAAACACACCGCCCGGGCAACAAAGGAGTGGCTCCGTAAGAAGCATTTGAAAGTCCTGGAGTGGCCTAGCCAGTCTCCAGACCTCAACCCCATAGAAAATCTGTGGCGGGAGTTGAAAGTCCGTGTTGCTCGGCGACAGCCCCAAAACATCACTGCTCTCGAGAAGATCTGCATGGAGGAATGGGCCAAAATACCAGCTACTGTGTGTGCAAACCTGGTAAAGACCTATAGTAAACGTTTGACCTCTGTTATTGCCAACAAAGGTTATGTTACAAGTATTGAGTGTATTTTTTTTCAGCTAATCAAGCTTAAACGTGCTGCTGTTGTTTAGCGCGGCATCATTTCATGATTGAAGTAGGAACAGGAGAGAGAGGGGGAGAGAATGAGAGAAGAAGAGGCAGCTGTGCAGCAAAGACAGAATAATTCCAGCTTTGTGTCTTTTTCCTTGTAGCTGAAGTCCGGGACAAACTGCGTCCCCTCTCAGCTCAACACAAAACGTGTAATATTTTCTCTGAATGATTCTGTCTTTTTACGGGACGGTTGGCAACTCTACTAACCTTATGAATTAAATAAAGTTCAACATCAGTAACATCATAGCACCCACCCAGCTGTATAGAAACTCTGTCATGCTAGCTAGGTTGTGTGTGTGTGACAAATAAAATTTGAATTTGATTTAGTACGCAGTACAAGTTATTGTAACTGACTGTAAAAAGTCAGCACAACGAAAATAAACTCCACCTAAACTTTGTTTATATCATCTGACCCAGATAGACTGCAGGTCATAACTTCTTACCTGAAGTTCAGTTCACCTGAAATTGCCATTTCACTCCAAACGTGGCAAATGTCAAACTCAGACAGTCTTCTCAAAAGTCCGTTCACATTCAGTGAAGTTGCAGCTTGTTGGAAATGCATCTCCATCAATCCAGCCATGATGATGGTATTTTCTCCTTGCTGATGCCATTTGCACATGCTGCTGCTGCTGGACCTATCACTGCTCAGGACACTGCTGTTGTCTCTTGACCTGCCATGTTGTTGCTTTTGGAACTGTGTTTCTTGTCTTCAGGGAGAGGTTAATGTCCTTGGAGCTTGCTTTTCAGGATGAGGAACACATGGAAGTGAAGCTGCAAGACAATTCAGCCAAAACTCGGCCTGGGTGTTTCTAATAATGTTAACCTATAATTTTCTTCTGAGTGCTGGCAGTGGAGATTGATCCAGGTCTGTTTCCCCACCTGCAACTGACAGACTGAGACATTTTGATCATTCTCATCGTTGCTTAAACTACACATCATCCCTCTTTGGTTTTGAATTATCCTTTCTTAAAAACCCAGAAAGTGAGATTGTAGTTGTTCTAGGCTGAGAAACACAAAAACTATATGTGTTTACTTACTATTACTATTATATTCTTATCAACAACATCTATTCTCTTTTAACCTGCAATACCACCTTCTCCCACTAGTTGGAGACAATTCTTCTCACGCACATTTCTACGCTCCACTCTTTTTTTTCTTTTTCCTTTTGTTTTTGTTTTCTCTGCCCCCCCCCCCCCTTCTAACTTTCAACTGGCTCATGCTGAGTGAACTCTTTGTCACACAACCATTCTACCTTCTCTGCCATCTCGCTCTACCCATCTCACTTTTACCCATAGTTCTTACCATTCAGACACATATTGAGTTCTGTCCCTGGCCGCCTGATGGCTTTACTGGATCCAGCTTCCCTTTACATTCAGAGCGTCCTCTGAAATGGCCTTCTTGGCAGAAAAGTGCTAAAACACCGTCAATATGGTATCGTATGCTTATTTATTTATGGTGCAGCATAAAGCACCATAAATAAATAAGCATACGAATTGCAACCCTGTCTGTGTTGATCCTTGGGTCCTGTGCTACATCTGCGCTATCTACTCCATGTCATGTCACAGTTATCCCCTTGAACTCTTTCCACATTTTGTCACATTACAGCCACAAACATGAATCAATTTTATTGGAATTCCACGTGAAAGACCAACACAAAGTGGTGTACACGTGAGAAGTGGAAGAAAATCATACATGATTCCAAACATTTTTTACAAATAAATAACTGCAAAGTGGGGTTAATATTGAGCTCCGAACCGCAGTAAAGGGACCTCTGGCTAATATGTCGGGTTCTGTGTCGGGCTGTAGCTGAAAACTAGCTTTACTTTGTTGTCTGGGTCAACTTTGCTAGGAGAGACAGAGAGAGGTCGTTGAAAGGCTGCTCCAATTAAATCATGTTGGAGAAAACTTTCACTCTAACATATGAAACAGGAAAAGACGTCAGTGTAATCCCATTTATTTCAACAAAGTAACTGTATTCTGAATACCACCTTTTTAAACGGTAACTGTAACGGAATACAGTTACTCATATTTTGTATCTTAAATACGTAACGGCGGTACATGTTATTCCGTTACTCCCCAACACTGTCCATAATGAACCTAATTAACCTGACTGAAACTGCTTCAGGTAATATTTAAGTTATGACATGATCAGATGAGTGTGAAACACAGCGAGACGACACAAAAGATAGGTGAACCGTATATAAATGACTGAGCGAACAGGGCACACAAACACGAGGACGAGACGATGATGTGACCAGAAGCAGAAACAAACTGAGGGCTTAAATAGACAGGATAATGGAAGAAAAGGAAACAAACCTAACTAATGAAGCAGAGGAAGTAAAACTGAACAAAACGCACACAGGACAAAAAAGACTATCACAATAAAACAGGAAAAGACACAGAAAAACAAAACAATGACAAAAAGTCTAAAGTCAGAACACTGGGTCAACAATCCAGGTACCATGACAAATTGATTCAACAGTCATTAAAGTTCTTGTACTTAATGACACTTGTCATCTTGGCTAATACTGAAAACACATGAGGGGTGTTACCATGCAAAATGTTTTTTTTTAGAAAAGTGCAAAGTAATTTCTTTGGAAAATGCAAATATCCACTTGGATGTCTTGTCATTTATGCAAACCCTCGCTAGTGCTGCTGGAATGTTCAGACTAAACGAACTAGTACAGTGTGGTCTTAGAAGTACTCTGAAGAAACTACAGAGGAAGTAAGCCGATCTACAAGTCAGCAGGGATATACCAGTAACTAGCGTAATTTCTTTAATGTGGTAATGATGTGAGAATTTTTTACTAGACAATAGTGGAATGGATTATATTTGGATCTTCACTGGTAAGCCAAATTGTCCTCAACTAAATGTATTACTTATAAATAATCAGTTCCAGATATTTTGTACTTTTTCATCTTTAAAACAAAACCCAGACCAAATACCACAGCTATGTTGTGAAAACACACAATTAACAGACGTCCTCCTCCTTTAATCATATCCTGGCTTACACAGAGAAAATGAGGAAACACACATTGGACTTTGTATTAAATGTATTAGAAGCAGTGATGGGGAAGAGCTGACTCATGCTCATGCAGATCAGTCAGTCAACAAAAATAACAGTGAGATAAATAATGCTAAAAGACTCGCTCAGCAGAGATAATTGAGGAATATTTACTTCTTTAAATAATAGTTGATGTTCATTTCACCGTCTATATGATTTTTAGAATCACTGCATATGTTTACAGGAACTTTCTTCATGATGACAACTGCAGCATTTCCAGGTAGAGATTTTTTTTCTCCTCTTTTGAAAACAATCTTTTTTGTTTAAATGATAGTTACTCATTTTTATCATTACAAAACCTCCATTACTTAGCACTGAATCAAAACGCTATCCCGTCTTCAGTCAGTGTCAATTTGTGATTTGTGGAAAGGCAAAAGTAATTTGACTGCTTGCTTTAAATACCCAAAACAGGATGTATCCCTGGGTGCGTAACATACTGGAATTCTTCCTGACCTTTACGCTTAACATGCTCTGTTCCATGCTGCTCATTTACCATGTTACAATCCAACTGCTGGAATGTAGACCTATAAATAGTGGATTGGTGCTCCAGTGATAACCAGTAGAGTGGAATTGAAAAATGTATGCTGCTGAAATCTGGATCAGAAATGTAAAAAAAAAAAAAGTGACCCTGATATAGATCCATAAAATATAATCAATAATAATGATATGGGGTCATCTTGCACATTTGCGGTGCACAAATAAATGAATGAATCTTGAGTAACCCCAAGCCCCCAGTGCAATCTATGAATTTTGACTAATTATGTCTGTTTTTCCCATTGAGGTCATCTTCTTCATAACCTGGCACTAAAGAAGACAGCTGTGCAGTCTTCAAACGGAGACAACATCGGACTTGCTTTCAAGGCCGTCGATGGCAATAGAGATGAGAACTATCAGAAATGGTCCTGCACACTTACTTTACAACAGTCTGATCCGTGGTGGAGGGTAGACCTGGGAAGAGTGTATACAATTGGTGCTGTTGCGATAACTAATATAGCAGGATTTGAAAACAGGTTGAATGGTGCAGAAATCTGGATTGGAAACTCGACAAACTTCAGTGACCCTGAGCGTGTGAGGTGAAACAGTGTGATACAGACTAACATTATAAATTTGCAGTCAGTTATAGTTTCATCAATTTCTTTTCTTGTTCATACACAGGTGTGCGGTCATCTCTCACATTCCCAGCGGACAGACGTTTTACTTTCCATGTAGCTCTGTTGAGGGACGCTATGTCACTGTGTTCCTCCCAGGAAGCGGGAAGGTCCTAAATCTCTGCGAGGTTGAAGTGTACTACGGTAATCACATTTTTATTCTGAAGCTGATACAGAAGCCTGGTAGTTCACAGACTCCCCGGCCATGTTGACAGCCAAATGCGATCTTTAAAATCACCACACAGGGCACCTTCTAGAGAAACTGACTAATACTGGTTTTCCTCCAAGGATACCCATTACCCAATGTGGCACTCAAAGGAGAAGCTACCCAGTCATCTACACTCTCTGTTGCCACTGCGTCCAAAGCCATCGATGGCAGACGGAACTCGTTCTATAGCAATGGGTTCTGTAGCCACACGGCTGAAGACGAGACCAACCCCTGGTGGAGGGTGGACCTGCAGCGAAGCTTTACAATCACTGCTGTAAAAGTCACCAACAGAGGAGACTGCTGTGCTGAAAGACTGGATGGAGCTGAGATCAGAATAGGAAACTCACTGGAGAACAATGGAAACAATAATCCCAGGTAATGATTAGAAGTTAGTTAATTTTAGAATAATTAGAACAGCAATATGTTAAAGTTTACAAGATATATACTATGTGCAGCATGACGACTAACATACTGAGGGCTAATTTTAAACCCCTGCTAAAATTAACAGTCTCCAGTTTATGGTAGTTTCATTTTAATGACAGTGGACAAAATATCCATAAAAAACCTATTATATAAAAGTTACAAATTGTTTTGGTATTTGATCCCCTACAAACCAGTCAGATTTCTGGCTTTCATAGATTGACTCAGTTCCTATTAGGCACAAATCAGTTAATCAGTTACAGATAAAACTGATCTTAGTTAAGTATAAAGCACACCTGTCCAGAAAATCAATTTCGTCCAGTCCAACCTTTCCACCACAATGGGCAAGAGCAAAGAGCTTTTAAAGGGGACAAGACTGCAAAAGGCTGGAAAGAGCTACAGGAGCATCAGCAATAAGCTTGTCGTGAACACCAGACATACGGCCAATTCAACAAACTAGTAATTGTCCGAGCCAGTCTCCAGATAGAAAATCTGTGGAAGGAGCTAAGGCTTTGAGTTGATGTAAAACTAAACCTAAGAAACCTAAAAATCAACTCCTGACATGCTAAAGTTCCTCTTTAGCAGGAACTTGAGGAAAACTGAAAACACCCTGACCTCTGTCGTTTACGCTTCACTGCTGATCGCTTGTAGATGGCACAGTCTCGCTCCGCAAACCACCTAGTTGGGCTGGAGCTTGGCACTCTCATTGAAGCTCTCATTGAAGGAGGACACTTTTTCACCTTTCACTTTTACTTTGTGTTCCAACATAGTTGTAGGTGATAAGGACAGAGCACATCCTACACCCTTGTTGTCTTCCTCGGTGTTAGTGTGGAGATCTTTTTACTTATTTGGGTAATCACTGTGATTCTGGAAATAACCCAAAGAACACATGTCAGGGAATGGAACAGATGAAGATACTGGATATCCTAAAGGCTGCTGGTACCAGCCTTGATGTGGGTTTGGAGGGTCTGTTTCAGCTGATCTTAGCAGTTATCAGTAAATGGTAAAAGGCCTGTATTTATATAGCGCTTTACTAGTCCCTAAGGACCCCAAAGCGCTTTACATATCCAGTTATCCACCCATTCACACACTGGTGATGGCAAGCTACATTGTAGCCACAGCCACCCTGGGGCGCACTGACAGAGGAGAGGCTGCCGAACACTGGCGCCACCGGGCCCTCTGACCACCAGTAGGCAAATGGGTGAAGTGTCTTGCCCAAGGACACAACGACCGAGACTGTCCAAGCCGGGGCTCGAACCGGCAACCTTCCGATTACAAGGCGAACTCCCAACTCTTGAGCCACAGTCGCCCCATACCATCACTGCCATTCGAGACCCCCTCAGTGCAGCAGATCTCGCTTTTGCAGTCTGCGTCAGCCACTTCCTCCTTCAATACCTTGCCTGAATTGATTCCCTAGATGTGCTCCTGTGTAACAGAATCCCAGCTGCTGCTGCTCTCCTCTCTCTGTGCAGTTAGTCGGTGTGGTGAGGGATGGGTCCATGCTCTCCTGGTTCTGTGGAGAATGCAGGGTCCTTCTTTTGCCTTATCCTCAAACTGAGGTGCTCCCATTTCTCCTGAGAGTGTTTGCATCCGTCATGCGATGGAAAAAACTCAGTGCTTTTCCTCAACATTTTGTCCATAATTAACCTGCATTACTGTAATCCGATTGTTTTGTTTTTTTTGAAGTAAGGAGTAAAGTAAGGGATTACTATTGCAAAAAAAGGTAATTAGATTACTGTTGCTTTCCTGTAAGCACGCTGTGTTACTGCATTACTGCATTACTAAACCGTGATTTTGTTAGTGAGAGTATCTCACAACAATGATGTAAGCGCGTGTGATGTCCCTGGTATCAGCCTGCAGATCAACAATGGATGACATGGAGTGCAGGAGGGAGTACAACCATGTAGCGTTTAAAGTGTAGAAGTACTGACCTTACTTTGAGTTCTAAACTGGTGAAAATAAAGTGACAGGACGTGCTGATTTTATTTATCTTCTGCTGTTATTTTACTTGCATCTATTTGAAAGAGTGAGAGTACACACTGTTATAGACAGTGTTGTTGTTAATGTATGTTTGGAGGCGTTGCACCCCTGAACCTTCAGAGGTTTTTCAGGGTTTTCCCTGCCGGAACGTTACGTGAGAAACAGTTTCCTGTATGTGTTGCGACTAGCTGTGGTTGTTTCTGAAAGTGATCAGTAAACGTCCTAAAATTGGCACTTGAGTTTCCAAACATTTTTATCCTGAGGTTATAACACACACTAAAAAATATTTTATATGCTAGAATATGCAGAAAATAGGTTTAGAGGTTAAACAAATTTCTTCAAGTCAAAGACAGTTGCATATAGTTGACTTTTTTCTTGATGGAATGTGCATAAAATCAAAAGATTAAAACTAACAAAACAAGTTTTTAAAAGAGACTTTTTCATTTGATTCAAAAATAGAATTGGGCTGAAAGGTCTATTGCTTCATTATGTATTCAGGTTGTGCATCATGTTTTTAAAAAGTAACTAAGCAACTAAGTAATAAATAATAATAACTACGGGGCGATCGTGGCTCAAGAATTGGCAGTTTGTCTTGTGATTGGAAGGTTGCCGATTCGAGCCCCGGCTCAGACAGTCTCGGTCGTTGTGTCCTTGGGCAAGAGACTTCTGCCTACTGGTGTTGGCCAGAGGGGCCGATGGTGTGATATGGCAGCCTCGCTTCTGTCAGTCTGCTCCAGGGCAGCTGTGGCTACAACTGTAGCGGACTCCACCAGTGTGTGAATGTGAGAGTGACTGAATAGTGGAATTGTAAAGAGCTTTGAGGGTCTCGAAAAGCACAATATAAATGCAATCCATTATTGCACACAGCTGATTTAAATGGCTGAATTACCGCTTCTTCTCCTTCTTCTTCTTCTTCTTCAGTCAAGTTTAACGGCAGCTTGCATCCAAAACTGTTGCATTACTGCCATCTCCTGGCTGTTAACCGTCCGTCACTCCTGAATCCTCAGATCCTCTTGATGAGACCAGTACTTCTCAAAAAACGAAAAACCACCACTTTCCCTTCACCATGACTTAACTTATCAACCACTTGTTCAAATGTAAGTTCCCTTCCACCACTCAGTTCACCCCACATCACCCTCCTGTGACTTACATACTTCCCACAACTAAGGAGTACATGCTCAACCGTCTCCATATCAGTGCACCCATCACACAACCCAGTTGGATGTTTCCCTATCCGATAAAGAGTACCATTTAAAAAGCAGTGGCCCGTTCGTATTCGACTGATAACAACCTCCTCACGTCTCTGCAGGCTGAATTACCTCCTCAGCATGTCTGGAATTTCACCAGAGGCCTGGTAATGAACTAATCATTTGATTCAGGTGTTGACCCAGGGTTATAGCTAGATCCTGCAAGACACTGGCCCTCGAGGCCTGGAGTTGTCCACCCCTGCAGCAGAGCCTGTCTTTCATCAATATGAACTGCGGGTAGGTCCATGAAACTTAAGGGTGCACCAAGTGACAATCGGTTTATTTCACTTGGTCAAAGGCTGAGGATAGGGTGTCATCACGAGACTGCTCTAATGGAAAATCTTCTACTGACCAAATCACCGGAGCCAGCGGTCCTCATACACTGCCCTGTCAGGTGTCCTGGTTGCCTGCACTCCTGCTTCAGTGTTTGTGCAGCCCTCTGTGGGTCGGGTGCTGCCTTTAGGCAGATCAGAAAAAAAAGGTTAGTGGGCAACAGCTGCAACTGGAAAGCCTTCAAGAACACCTCGGTTTAGAGTTAGGGTTAGGGGATTGTCACTGATAACAGAGGAGGGGCAGAGCCACAGTGACCCTGAGCAGCCTCTTCAACACCTGCGTCTGGTGTTTGGCCTGGTCCTGTAGTCTGTTTAATTGCTGTCTCTGTGCCATCTCTGTTAGCATCTGCATGGGCAATTGCACCGGCTAGGGAGGTAGCGCAGGTTGCAGGTCCGACATGATGACACTGGTTTCTGCACGACTTTGTTATCGCAGTCACGACTCTGGACACTTTGGTGTGATTTTTAATGGTCTTTACGAAGAACAGAGGATTTGTCTTGCGCCATTGTACAGTCTATGGCTGGAAAGCTTACCAGCTTACCTCTCTCCAGGTCCCGGCATCACTGAAAAGAGTGAGAGAATCATCACAAACTGAGGTGCAGCTGCCCAGCCAAGCTCTCTGGCACTACACCTCAAGCCTGCTACTCCTCCTGTGTAATGGAGCCACAGACCACACCTCTGCCACAACAGCATTTAATCTATTATTAGACTCAATTGCCTTCTTTCAAACTGTAAAAGAGCATCTCTATTTCTATCCTCTTTTTTCTCAAATTGCCTGTCTTGCCCTCGACATTGTCATACTGGTCTACAAATAATGTAATATCTGAAATAATACAAAAAGAAACAAATAAATAAACAGATGAAAGATTCTCATGAACAAGAGGAACACATAGAAAATAGCATTACATTAGAATATTCAGTTACGTATAAATATGCTTCACTTTGGTGTTTTATTCAGTTAATCTTTCTTCTATTAGATTTTATTATTCTCACATTTAAATTTAATCCATTTTAATCCAGTTATATAGACATACTTCTGTTTACTTTTTTGCTGTAAAATTCTGTTTTTGTCCATCATTATTTTCTCAATACAGCTTCTTTGACTGAATCGTACATTTTAAAGAGTAAGAGAAAAGAATAAAAATGATTCACTATTTACCAATATAAAATATAAATATATATAAAGCTCTGTTATAGCACTCTGTGTCATTTTAAACATAAAATGCTGGGTTTAAAAGCTGGGGGGACTTCAATGTCTTTCAATCCCACCTTTTTCAACAGTTAAATAAAAAACAAAGAAACTTTTCTGTGGAGGGAGCTGAAGCTTTGAGTTGCCCAGCAGAAGCTAAGAAACTGCAAGGAGGGGTTTGAAAACCTATAAGAACTTATAAGAATAAAGTGTGTTTATTTTGGCCATCAAGAATGAAGAGAGAAGAAGATTATTTTCTAGTCCTTGAGTCATGTTATTTCAACATGAGGCCCATAATACTAACATAATACTGCCCCCACACTCTCTGCTGTCAGGTGTGCTTCCATCTCACATATCAATGCGGGTAAAACCTACACATACCGGTGTGATGGAGGTAGCATGGAGGGTCGCTTTGTGAACTTGTTTCTTCCTGGACAGAAGAAGACTCTCACCCTGTGTGAAGTGGAGGTGTATGCTGCCCCAGCAGGTAGAGGTTTAAGTGACTGGATTTAATCTATGGAAACACATCTGCCTGATACTGATTCGTACCTGTTTGTTCTTTTTAACACTTTAGTGGAGCCGCTTTCAAATGTGGCCTTAAGCAAGCCAACAGTACAGTCATCGACTTCGTCACCATATCTGTCTTCCAAAGCTGTTGATGGGTACAAAAATGGAAACATCTACGGTGCAGGCTTTACCCACACTTTAGATGAAAAAAATCCCTGGTGGAGAGTAGACTTGTTAGCCGTGTATAAAGTCAGTGCTGTCACCATCATCAACAGACAGGACTGTTGTTCTGAAAGGATTCTTGGGGCAGAGATTCGGATCGGGAACTCACTGGATCAAAATGGAAATCAAAACCCGAGGTGAGACATGATTTCTGACTGGAATATTTATTATTATTATTATTCATTTTTTCTCCCATTTAAACAACACATTGTTTGAATAGATATTAGCTTTTTTCCCTTTAAGTGACATATTTCTCTTTGATGTTTCTACAACTCCATCAGGTGTGGCATTATTGAATCATTAGATGGTACACCAACATACACATTCCAGTGTCATGAAATGGAAGGTCGCTACATCAATGTGATCATACCAGCGCTTCTGAGAGCTCTGACGCTGTGTGAAGTGCAGGTGTTTGCTTCTCTGCCTGGTATAGCCCTTGTTTTCTAGTGGCATATGTGGAAGCTGCTTGTTTTCTTTTTCTTTTTTATATGATTTCTCATATTTATCATTGTACAGTCAAGAAATTGAACTGACTTTCTAGCTTTCAGTGTTCATGTTTTGTTTTTTTTGGGAGGGGGGTTCGGAGCCGATTGCAACATTACAATTTAACCTGTTAAACTAAAATAAAAACAAACAGTCATGGATGAAACCAACAGAAACCTAACAAACTTTGCTCTCCAGCACCAGAAGCTGTTACTCCTTCACCCACTCCTCCCACCCCTCCTCCGCCTGTGAGCCTGCAGCTTGGTGGCAGGAACGTGATGGTTGTGGGAGAGAGGCTCTGCTGGTCCGATGCTTTGATGTACTGTAGACGTTATTACTGGGACCTGCTCAGCCTTCTCAGCCAACAGGAGCAAAGCGAGTTGGAGCAGCTGCTGGGCCTCGTTCCTTTCTCCCTCACAGACCACATCTGGATGGGACTGCGCAGGTACTGATACAGAAGATACTTCTAACAACTCAGTGAATGAACAGGGAGGACACAGAGTCATCCAGGATTCAAAAGGTCATAGTTCAAGTTTTCTTATGCAAGTTAAGAACGTGTGTGTGCGTGTTAATGAGATCAGAATAACATTTAGACAGGAGAAGTGGAGTCGAATGGTAACAAAGAGAGTGACGATTGTCAGTACTGAGTAGGGCTGGGCGATATGACCCAAAATTCATATCTCGATATTTTTTTAGCTGGATGGCGATATAAGACATATATCTCGATATATTTTTTTAAAGCCATAAAGTAAGAACAAAAAGAGAGTTCTTAGTCAAAGCTGTGTCCCAGATGTCACACAGGCACTTTTATTAACATACAGCATATACGTAAATGAAAAAAAAAACTACTCAAAAGTAAATTATCAGCATTTATTAAATAATAATGCTCCATAAATAAAAGAAAACAATGTTGTTTTTGTGCATAACAAAAAGCTCACAATTGTGCAGTCAAAATGTAAACTAAAAGATGCTGAGCATAATAATAATGAGACAGATTTCACAGCTGCTCTGTTCCCAAGTTCTACTGCGTGACTGACAGCCTGGAGTTTGAAATCCGCTTCGTAACCATGTCTCTTAACAGGTGCCATTTATGGTCCTTTTACACACACAATACGGTAAATTACGTTGAAGCACAGTACGTATCACTCCGCGAGGCTCCTCGGTAGCCGTAATGCTCCGACAATCCATCAAGCAGTGCAGCTCCGTACCAAAACATTTTTTGACAGATTGCTGAGCGCTGTGTTCCACATAAAATCAGTTCGCGGTCATCAAGCACAACCAGAATTCATACATAAGGCGCGCTGTCAACTTTTGACATAATGAATGGATTTTAGGCTGTGCAGCCCCTGTGGACTGCATGGTGTTAGCGTGGTTAGCTTTTTAACACGTTGACGCTATCCAGCCCCACACACGGGGCGATGCGCAGTAACTCGTTAACGGAAATTTGCCGTGTCCATCTTGTCGCTGCCTGCAGGTGAAGCGATGGGGAAGGAGGGGGAGTTGTCTTCAGTGAAGGAGAGGCGAGGCCGAGTAACGTTGCGTAGAGACAAAAGTGGACGAAAGAGAGGCAAACTTGTGGCTCCACAACTATAATTATAACGTAACATAGACTATATCAATATAAAGGATATTGTCACATCTTATATCTCGTATAAAAATATATCGATATTAAAAAAAAAAAAACTTTATATATCGCTCAGCACTAGTACTGAGGTATAATACAAACAGAAGGCAACTTTACATCAAGGATAGTTGCAAGCACCAAGGAATCCACTGGTAAATGGGAAGTATGAAGAGGCCGCTAGGACAGCTGCAACCATGCAAAACATTCAGACAGTAAGGTAAGTCATGAGAAGTCTGCTGAATGGGAAGATCAAGATTCAGGCAATCAACTCCTGTGCTTTGAGGGTCTTCAAATACCCTGCTGGGATAATAAGCAGGCCAAAAGAAGAGGTAAAACCTACTTACATCAAGACAAGGAGCTCTTTACCAGGCATTAAGTGTTCATCTTAGTCCAGCACCCTGAGACGCCGAGGACTAGTGAGTGTCAGAACCACTGTCCAGGATGAGACAACAAACATCCATGAGTAAATCAGGAAGATGTCCACAACTGATCATGTAAGGCAGGGATCCCCAATCCCAGTCCACGAGGGCCGGTGTCCCTGCAGGTTTCAGATCTCACCCTGCGTCAATCACATGATTAGTTCATTACCAGGCCTCTGGAGAACTTCAAGACATGTTGAGAAGGTAATTTATCCATTTAAATCAGCTGTGATGGATCAAGGACACATCCAAAACCTGCAGGGACACTGGCCCTTGTGGACTGGGATTGGGGACCCCTGATGTAAGGGAACACTTCAGTCTGCAGAAACCTGAGAAGGAAGAGGAGAAAGAAAAGGAACCATCATGGAAGGACAGACCACTGTACAGTATGCATATAGTATGTTGTGATAGAAGTAGCTATACCTAGTGATACCAAGAAGGAGGATCATGGGAAGCTTGAGAAGTACCAGGGACTGAGAGTGAAGCTAGAGAAGATTTGAAGGGTAAAGACAACAGTGGTCCTCATGGTAACTCAGTTCTTGATGGACCAGCATTGGGGTCGTAGTGAATAGTGATGATGCTGAACTGGGTAAGAGGAAGAAAATGAATGAAGGCTTGGAGTGATTTGGGGTTTTTGTTTATCCCATCATAAAGACCACATAGCTTGAAAATGTGAAAAAGCAGTTAAAATCCATAGGCTACATAAATGGCAGTATTTTGATTCACTATGTCCAACAGATCCTTGAATAGAGATGACTGGTTCTGGATGTCCGGACACTCCATGAATTTCTTCAACTGGCCACAAGATTTTGTCCCTTACTATTACTCCAGCATGTGTGGAGCCATGAGCAATGGAGAGCACTTCATGTGGCAGGACCTGCACTGTGGGGAACACGTCAACTTCATCTGCCAATCAGGTTGGGCTGAGATGACGCTAATGCATGTGTGCACTGTTGTTCCTCAGAAAGTTTTGTGCTTCTGAGGACTAATTACTCTACCTTCTGTTCATTTAGGTGCTGGGGACAATGTGCAAAGAGTGGATTTCTACAGCACCAAGAATGTCACAAGTGTAAAGTAAAGTTCAACAAGATATTGCATATCGGAATACTTTTAAGTTACTAATAGTTTTTATTTTCAATGTATCCAAATGTTTAACACAAATCTAATATATATATGTATGTGT